CATGGTATGCATACCGAAGCATGTGTCTGGAAGTCTGTAGAGGTCGCTTCTCCTTTAGAACACAACGTGTCAACGGGAAAATAGGACGAAGAGCTCAAGGAAAGGAAAGTATTGTTGTTGTTGCCTGCACTGATATGGTATTACTCGTGAAAGAAACAAGAAACCGCCGCAGTGACATAACGTACTATGCATATTATACACAACACCCGTGCCACACCATATTTTCTTGTCGAGACTCGACGCTCCAAAATCAAGACACCAAGTGCATATTTTCTCAAGACACTTTTTCTTGTCGAGACTCAACTGTCCGAAATGAAGTACTTCCGCTATGCTGCAGGTACTACACTGTAGACTCGTCAGAACAAATCGATATTTTTGTCGTTGACCCAGTAGAGAACTAGCCTACAGGGGATGTTTGTGAAGTGGAAGTTACCTGTACAGATGTTTTTGTACCTATTATAGAACCAGCTGGTATCACTGATAGAAATCATCCGTGTTAGACTTAACAAAGACTCGAAATAAGTCCAGTGCCCAGCCGGTTTTCCTCCACTCACGGCTGTAAAGACTCCACCACATCCCGTTCAACGGTGGGTATATCTCGAACGGGTAGTCTTTCTGAGTTCGTATTTCTTTCCCTAAAAATCTAGAACGTCAAAGGGACTCGAGGTGAAAGCCCTTTCGGTGAGGTGATAACAGCCGCAAATTCAAACATCTTCAGAGGTGAATGGTTGTATGCATAAATATTAATATTCCATAATACAAGGAAGACTCCTCCTGTGGGTGACTCCCAGAAAAAGGTCACACAAGTAGCCAAAATCAAGACGACAGAGGGTAGGCCCAAAAAATGCCTGCCGTCACTGGGGAAAATCGAGAGATGGCGTATGGCATAAACAAAAACCAGCTCCCAGGAGAGTATAACCTACGGTGCCACCTGCTGGGACTTTCTGTTGCACAGCACCCAGGCATCAGTTGATGGATACCATTCTTTTCAAGAGAACCTACAAGAACAAACCAGAAGACTACCCGTTTGAGATACTGTACAACCACAGCAGAGTAACATACGTATGGCACCCCTTTTCCATCACTGTGTTCAGCGTGCCCCCTTTCTTGTATTTTGGGTGGTACTTCAAACATGTGAAGTCCAACACCATCAACGTACACACCCTTACCCTTGTTTGACGCGTCCCCTCCGTCCTTTCGCCCAACTTTTTCTTTTTTTTCTTTCCAGGGCCAAGCAAGCTCTCTGGTGGACCGGCAGAGACGCGGCGATGAACAAAAGGGCCTGGCTCCACCACCTGGGGCAACCCGGGTGCGGGCGCGAGAGCGTCCGCCAGCAGCCGCGACCATACCAACCGAAGCGGCATCGCTCGTCGCCGTCTCACTTTCTAGGAGGCGGTCGCCACACGGCCGCCGACCGCGGCCTAGGCGGCCGCCCTTGGCCTTCCCACAGCAGTGCCGGTGGGGTATTGGGCGCGGGTACTGCCGAAACCGCTGGGGCGGAGGCCTCGGGTGCCGCCGCGGCGGCGGAGGAACAATCGCTCTTTTTGCCGGCGGCGGTGGGTATCCTGGGGTGCAGGTGCCAGGCCTGTCTCACGGAGGGCGAGCACGAGCATGAGCACGAGCAGCAGCCGCCGTCGCCGCCGCCGCCGACTTACGAACCGCCGTCGCAAGCGCCGCCACCGTACGATCACCGACCGCCGCCGCCGAGATACGACGCCGTCGCAGCAGCAGCAGCAGCAGCAGCAGCAGCAGCCGGCGGGGGGCACGTGACGGCCAGAGCCGCGGGCAGGACATGGGACGACGGCGAGAGGGAGGAGGAGGAGGAGGAGGATGACCTTGGGATGAAGGGGTCGAGGTCTTGCTCACCCGCGTCGGCGCAGGGCAGCAGCCCGTTGCTCGAGGCGTGCGAATCGTACGATGACGACGAAGGCGTGTTTCCGACAGGCTCGTACTTCTTTTACGACTGACTGACGCACGTCCCGAGAAACGAACGGCGTCGTTACGGACTACGGCGTGTTTTCCGTCATCGGGCTCGTGCTT